GAAATAGATAATAAAACTATACTAGTGGAAGACCTCAACTTTCCCTTCTCAGAACTAGATAAATCTAACCAAAAAATAAACAAGAAAGAAGTTAAGGAGGTAAATAAAATTCTGAAAAAGTTAGATATGATATATCTCTGGAGGAAACTGAATGGGAACAGAAAGGAATATATCTTCTTCTCAGCAGTACATGGCACCTACACAAAAACTGACTGTATATTAGGACATAAAAACCTCACAACTAAATGCAGAAAGGCATAAACAGTAAATGTATCCTTTTCAGATCATAATGCAATAAAAATTACATCAATAATGGACAATGGAAAAAGAAGTTAAAATTAATTGGAAATTAAATAATGCAATCTTAAAAAACAAGTGGGTCAAAGAACAAATCATAGAAACAATCAATAATTTCATTAAAGGAAACGACAACGAGACAACATACCAAAACTTATGGGATGAAGCCAAAGTGTTACTTAGGCGAAAATTTATATCTCTAATTGCCTACATTAATAAAATAGAGAAAGAGCAGATCAATGCCTTGGGCATGCAACTAAAAAAAAAAACCAGAAAAAGAACAAATTAAAAATCCCCAATTAAATACCAAATTGGAAATCCTGAAAATCAAAGGAGAGATTAATAAAATTGAAAGTAAGAAAACTATTGCACTAATAAATAAAGCCAGAAGCTGGTTTTATGAAAAAAAACCCAATAAAATAGATAAACCTTTGGTTAATTTGATTTGAAAAAGGAAAGAAGAAAACCAAATAACTAATATCAAAGACAAAAGGGGTGAATTCGCCACCAATGAAGAGGAAATTAAGACAATTGTTAGGAGCTACTTTGCCCAATTATATGCCAATAAATTTTATAATCTAAATGAAATGGATGAACATCTACAAAAACATAAATTATCCAGATTAACAGAAGAAATAAGATACTTAAATGACCTATTATGAGAAAAAGAAATAGAACAAGCCATCAAAGAACTTCCTAAGAAAAAATCCCCAGGACCAGATGAAGTCACAAGCAAAATCTACCAAACATTTAAAGAACAACTAATCCCAATACTATATAAACTATTTGGAAAAACAGGCAAAGAAGGAGTCCTACCAAATTCCTTTTATGATATAAACATGGGGCTGATACCAAAATCAGGAAAAGCCAAAACAGAGAAAGAAAATTATGGACCAATTTCTCTAATGAATATTGACACAAAAATTTTAAATAAAATACTGGCAAAGAGATACAGCAATATATCACAAGGATCATAAACTATGACCAGGTGGGACTTATATCGGGAATGCAGGGCTGGTTCATTATTAGGAAAACTATCAGCATAATTGACCATATCAATAACAAAACTAACAGAAATCATATGATTAACTCAATAGATGCAAAAAAAGCCTTTGACAAAATACAGCACCCATTCCTATGAGAAACACTAGAGAACAGGAATAAATGGAGCTTACCTTAAAATGATAAGTAATATTTATCTAAAACCATTAGCAAGCATTATCTGCAATGGGGATAAGCCTTCCCAATACAATTAGGGGTGCAGCAAGGACGCCCATTATCAATTCCATTATTTAATATTGTACTAGGAATGCTAGCTATAGCAATAAGAGAAGAAAAAGAAATTAAGGGAATTGGCATAGGCAATGAAGAAACAAAAACGATTACTCTTTGCAGATGTTATGATGGTATACTCAGAAAATCCTAGAGAATCAATTAAAAAACTACTTGAAATTATTAACAACTTTAGCAAAGTTGCAGAATACAAAATAAATCCACACAAATCATCAGTATTTCTATATATTACCAACAAAGTCCAGCAGCAAAAGATAGAAAGAGAAATTCCATTTAAAATAACTGTAGACAACATAAAATACTTGAGAGTCTACCTAGGACAAACCCAGGAGCTATATGAACACAACTATAAAACATTTTTTACACAAATAAAGTCAAATCTAAACAACTGGAAAAATATTAATTGCTCATTGGTAGACTGAGCCAATATAATAAAAATGATAATTCTACCTAAATTAATCTATTTATTCAGTGCCATACCAAACTATCAAAAATTATTTTATAGAACTAGAAAAAAAATAATAAATCATTTGGAAGAACAAAGGATATCAAGGGAATCAATAAAAAAAAATGCAAAAGAAGGTGATCTAGCCATACCAGATCTCAAACTGTATTATAAAGTGGTAATTATAAAAAACAATCTTGTACTGGCCAAGAAATAGAGTGATAGATCAGTGGAATAGATTAGGTACAAGTTACATTATAGTTAATGACCATAGTAATCTAGTATATGATAAATGCAAAGATCAAAGGTTTTGGAAGAAAAATTCATTATTTCACAAAAACTACTGAGAAAACTGCGAAACGATATGGCAAAAACTAGGTACAGACCAACATTTCACATTGTATACCAAGAAAAGGTCAAAATGGGCACATGATTTACACATAAAGTGATACCATAACCAAGTTAAGAGAGCATGGAATAGTTTATCTGTTAGATTTATGGACAAGGGAAGAATTTAGGACCAAAGAAGATACAGAGAGCATTACAAAATGTAAAATAGATAATTTTGAAAATTAAAAAGTTTTTGCACAAAGAAAACCAATGCAACCAAAATTATAAGGAAAGCAGAAAACTGGGGGGAAATTTTTGTAACAAGTATCTCAGATAAAGGCCTCATTTCTCAAATATATAGAAAACTGAGTCAAATTTATAAGAATACAAATCGTTCCCCAATTGATAAATGGTCAAAGGATATGAACAGGCAATTTTCAGACAAAGAAATCAAAGTTATCTATAGTCAAATGCAAAAATGCTTTAAATCACTATTGATCAGAGAAATGCAAATTAAACCAACTCTGAGATATCACCTCACACCTATCAAAGTAGTTAATATGACAAAGAAAGGAAAACGTTGGCTGCTGGAGAGGATGTGGGAAAACTGGGATATTAATGCACTGTTGGTGGAATTGTGATCTGATCCAACCATTCTGGAAAGCAATTTAGAACCATGCTCAAAGGGCTATAAAGCTGTGCATACCCTTTGATCCAGCAATACCACTGCGAGGTCTATATCTCAAATACATCCAAAAAAAGGGAAAAGGACCTATTTGTACAAAAATATGGCAGCTCTTTTTGTGGTGGCTAAGAATTGGAAATCAAAGGGATGCCCATCAATTGGGGAATGGCTAAACAAGCTGTGATATATGATTGTAATGGAATATTATTGTGCTATAAGCAATGACAAGCAAGATGATTTCAGAAAAACCTGGAATGACTTAAACGAACTGATGCGTGGTGAAAGCAAACACAACCAGGAGAATGTAATACAAAGTAAGAGAAATACTGTTTGATGAAGAACTCTGAATGACTTTGCTATTTTCAGCAATACAATGATGTAAGACAATCCCAAAGGACTAATGATGAAACATACTACCCACTTCCAGAGAAAGAACTATTGACTGAATACAGACTGAAGCATGCTATTTTTCACTTTTTCATTTTTTTTTATTCAAGTCTTCTTGTACAAAATGACTAATATGAACATGTTTTACCTAATCGCACACGTATAACCTATATCTGATTGCTTAGCATTTAGGGGGTGGGGGAGGGAGGGATCGAATTTGGAACTCAAAACTTTAAATAAAAATGTTAAAAAATTTTGAAAAATATATAAAATTATTTTTAAATAACTCTTTTGTCAAAGCAGATCATTAAAATAAAAAATAAAAACTTGCCCAAACCTACCACAACAGTGTGAAAAATACCCCCTTCTTTCTAGTTATCAGATGGCTATTTAAATTAGATCCATTCAGATTCTATGAATCTAAATTAAATGTTAAACACTGCATTCTGAAGTCAATAGTGAGGTGAAGCAATCAGCTCCTAGCTACCAGTAAAACTACAGGGAAGGAAGCCTGGGAAAACAAAGCATCTAGCTTTTGCATTAAAATGTACCAATTACTTGTGTCCACAGTGGAATAGAAGCATTTTCAAAACCAATAAAAACAAAGTCCTATCTGTGAATAATAACCACAGCCTTAGGAAACTGATGCAACACACACATATGTGCAGGATGCTATATTAAATGCTCAACACCAGGATGAAAGCCATTTTACCCAAGTTTATTTTAAAGGTGTACGTATGAGTTATGTGTATGTATGTATGTATGCAATATACATATACATATATATACGTATGTGTATATGTGTGTGTATACATAGTTTGGTGTGCATATTATAGACACAATACATATGTATATATACATGTATGCATATATACATATGTATTGTATATACACACACTGCTATGCATGATGAGAGACTTTTTATCTAATTTGACTTTTCTAATTTGGCTGGTTCTTAATAATGTTCCAGGAAAAATCATCCTGTACCTTGGTTTAAAATATTAATTCAGATTTTAATAGTTGGATATATAATGAGTTAACATTTTTGCTCTCTTTTACTTTGGAGACTCAAAATGATCCCCCAAAGCAAGCTGAGGTTATTTTTACACAGACAAGTAAGAAATGAGAACTATTAGCACCTAGTAAATTTAGGCTATGGAGGTCAGCCCCCTGGAGAATTCTGACATGCCCCTCCCCCAAATAAACCTTTTATTCTTCCTCAATGAGAGTCTTCAATCTACACATTTATTTCAAATTTTCATTGCCCAGGTAGGTATCACCTAAAAACAGTTTTTAATATATGATTAAAATAATGCATTGCACATCCAAACTGATAAGTTTGCTACTGCCTACCTTGACTGTCAAGCTTACATAGACAGAAAAGACAACCTGTGATACCAGTTGTGTCTATCAATTGTGTGTGTGTGTGTGTGTGTGTGTGTGTGTGTGTGTATTGTCCAAGAAACACTATTTTGCAAGAAAAAGTTTCTAGCCTTGTTTTGGAGAGTATAAATTGAAGGATTTTTTTTTTACAATGCCATACAGTTCACATTTATGTTAGTAAAAAAAAATGAATTTATTGACTCAAGAACACCAGTAACAAATAAACAGCCGTGGCATTATATTAGCCATGATGTGATTTTCGTTGAAAATCTTAAGTGGGTCCTTTCCCTCCCCTGTCCCTCAAGATGCTCTGATTTTTAGCACATTTATTAACCAGTTGCATCAGCAACTGGGTAGGCAGTTTCTATGCTGACAGTCTGTATTAGTATTTACAGGAGACTAGAAGTGGATTTTTCACCAAAAATATAAAACTCAGAAATCTTGTCCCCCCAATTTTTTCTACTGCAGGGGAGGCAGGATAGCCTAATGGAAAGGGAACTGGATTTGGAGACAGACAGCCTGTATTCAAATCCAAGCTTGGCTCCCAATTACCTGTGACCATAGGCAAGTCACTTAACCTCTGTCCAGACCTAAATCTATAATCCAGAAATGCTTTATAAAACACCAAAGGAGGCTATTTGTTGATTAAGATGTTATGTAGCATGCCTTTTCCCTTTCTTTTTCAGGTACCAATAAACTCATTAAAATCACAGATCTATTACTATAAGACCTGTGGTCTATGCATCAGGGTTTTGGATCCTATTCCATTTAATGACATAGCTGGATTCATTTTAATGTTACCTACAACCATCTCTTAAATTCTTATATTCTCTGTATGGTACCAGATTCAATTTTGAAAACTTGTATCAGTCAACAATAAGCTATTCATACAATTAAATAGACACTGACATTTGGTTTGATTGTCATTTATTTTTTCTCTTAAATAAAACTCCCTTGAAAGTATGCAGTAATCAGGAAGGAAGGGAAATCTCAGGACATGATTCCCCCATATCTTTTCATACAGCCCTATATATTTTAAATTATAATTTAAAAACACACACACAAATGAGACGGCACAAATATCAGTGCGGCCCTGACTGTCATCATTTTAAGTTAGTTCCCTGACTTTTCATACATCTCTTGTATAATAAATGTATTTATGAATGTTTGAATATGTATTACATACATTGTAAATGTACAAATAATTGACTTACTGGCATGGTTAATAAAGATGTACATATTGCACAAGATGAGCTTCTTGCTGACTTAAATTATGTACCTACTGTACGTTCCTTTGAAAGCTCAACATCCTAAACAAGTTATATTATTCTAGACTAAGCCAAGTAAAACGCAATGATTTGAGAAATTAATTAGGCTACAAAACGAGTAATTCCAAGTCACTTTATATTAAGCCAAAACCTTCTTTTGGCCTATCAAGTCCTAGCTTACTTCTAGGTCCCCTTCTTCCTGAGGATCTGAAAGTGCTTGGAGAACAAGAGTTCCCTTGGCCAGACAATGGTTTGGGGGGGTGGAGCACAGCACAAAATGAGCCAGCCGCCGCTGCTGCTGCTGCTGCAAGACAGTGGCAACATCTGGGCAAGTCCCATATTTCTAAAGTAGAGTACCTAGATGTGTGTTAAGACTGGCCTAATCAGGGGGCCACCAAGGCAGAATCTAGCACACTACGTGAGGACAGTTTTTACAGGTGGTGTGTTCCTCTAACCACCTCAAATGAATGTCTTAGCTTGGCTTTACATATTAGGCAAATAGAAGTAAATAAAAATCCCATTCCAAATGTCACCCCAGCTGGATTTTGTGTCTGTCCTCTGGCTTGCAATCATCCTAAGAATGAGCTTGACTGCTCCCAGGGTGTGGGAGGTCCCTCAGTCCACAGTTCAGAACATACAGGGAAAAAAGTCTGTTGTAACAGGTGCCTTGATTCAGGAAGGAAATTCTCAGCAGCCCACACTGCTGAGCTTTAGTCAGACGAGGGCCAAGAGAGAGTGAATTGTTACCTCAAATCAAGAGCTTTCCTGCATCTATCTACACAGTGTCATGTACAATTTCTAGCATGAAACTGCATGAAAGGAAATATACTGGAATAAATGTTATGTGTTTTCTCTGTTGTTATGAAACACAAAAAAGAGACTTCTCCAAAGGAAAGGGCCTGTTTCCGCTCTGATTTGCTGTTGTCTACTCCTGAAGCAATGTCTCTCTCCAGTTAAAGCCTCCAGTTGGTCCGTGTGTGAGGGGGAGGATGGGTGGATCAGTCAGCTGCCAGACTCCTGTTTCTCCTAATTCTTCACATGAACAAAATCCCAGATATGGAATCTGTAGTTACAATGGAAAAGACATGGGAAAAATAAAATAGAGGTGTAATGCCATGAACTCAAATATTTTTTATTATCAACTTAATGCCCGAAAACAAGTAAATAAAACAAATAAGAGATTAAGAGTAAAATCTTATAGGAAACTCATCCTTTTATAAGGCAGACAGACTCTAATAAATTAACAAACAAGCCAAATATATTTTGATTCTAGGTCCCTTTCTAGGGTTAAAGTTATTCTACCCTGGGCTTTTTTCCTTTAAATATATACACATATGTACACATGTATGTATATGTGTGTGTACACATAGATATATATACACATATAATTATAATTGTAGTTCTATAAAATAAATTTTAAAAGAAAGCTATAGTCAGTATCCACGGTAACCCATCAAACCAAGAGAAATGTAAAATCAATGCTCTGACCTATGCAGCCCCCTCCTACTCCTGCAATGACAATGGCAGAAAGGCAGAAGGGTTCTGGGAATCACTCAGTTTCTAGATTGTGTGTGTGTGTGTGTGTGTGTATGTGTGTGTGTGTATTATATGTATGCTGCTGTTCAGTTGTTTTCAGGTCCACTTTTTCAGGATCCCAGTTTTCTTGGCAAAGATACTAGAGTGATTTTAGCTTTTCCTTCTCCAGCTCATTTTACAAATGAGGAAATGGAGGCAAATGGGGTTAAGTGACTTGTGCAGGGTCACACTGCTATTAAGTATCTGGGGCAGATTTGAACTTAGGTTTTGCTAACTCCAGGCCTGGTGTTCTATCTATTGCACCACCTAGCTGAGATAGCTACCTAGCTAGCTAGAGTGTATACATGTATATATGTATGCGTGTATGTGAGATGTACAGATATAAATAAATATCTGTAAATAAATTATTGGTACTCTAATGTGAGATGTGAGATCCTTATCCAAAGGCATTATAATAGAAGAACTGAATTACACTGACTTTAACTTTATTGATATCAATAAAATCAGAAGATAAGCAGGAGTATCAGCTAGATGGAAAGATGACTCATAGGTTCTTCTTGGAGAGGCAAATAAAGACATTGGCTGAATTGGCTCTATTATCCATCCAAAGGGCAACATGAAATATTTCATGCAACATTTAGTCATCTCATATTGTAGTACTCATAAGTATTTTCAAAAAGTCTATCATGAAAATAATTGCAGCTTATTCACCAATATCAGCTGTAGAGCATGAGGATGACAGATATTTTCCAATCCTACACATATGATCCCATACAACTCTATAAATTAAAGCAACATACACTTTGATACTTGGGAAGAATGGTAAAACTATGTTGGAAAAATTATGGTTTGGGAGTAAGAAACGGGAGAGACCAAAAGCTCAGGGACATAACATGAATCCTTTTTTTTTTTAAAGGAAAAAGAATCAGGAGGTACTAGATATGTCAAGCGGCAAACAATACAAAAAAATGAAGTTGACTGTATTTTAATAGATAACTATTTGTTATTGATATTAGAACCCTTCCTGGACCAACTATTTGTACACTGTCAGACTAGTGATTTCTGGCTAAGATAAAACTGACAAGAAAACTAGAAGAATAAAAATGAGAAAAAGAAATGGTGTATGATTAGAATAACTCCAACTTAACCTCTTAAACAAGCTGTTGACGCTGAAAAACGGGAACTAGATAAAGGAAAGGACATCCAGACCAAATGTAACTATTTCTTAGAGATGTTTAAATGATATAAATTAGCTGACATAAGGAGATGAAAAGAATATGAAAACTGTCTTAGACAGCAAACACTTGCTCTCCTCGCCAAGCTCTAGCATCCAAAGGCAACAGTCTAGAATGTAAACTCATTTGTCAAATCTTATGAAGAAGGATAGTAGAAGATTCTCTGCCATACAGCCTCATCAAACAACAAGAAGGCAATTGAAAACAAGTTTACAGAAAAGTTGACAAGAGACCCAACTAAACAAAACTATACTGAAAAGACATATAATGAAACTGAAAAGACAACAAACAGATGAAATGAAAATGATACATGAAGATGTTTGCAACAAATACTTTTTTATTGTCAAGGACAGTGTGCTACCACATTTGGACTCTTAACATCATACTCCTGGCTGTGCTGTACAAGGAAATGGATGTGGCACTGAAGAAAATAAAGATGGGGTAAGCAAATAGGTTATATCAGGAGTGGGGAACTGCAGCCTTGAGGTCACATGTGGCCCTCTAGGTCCTCAAGTGCAGCCCTTTGATTGAATCCAAATTTCACAGAACAAATCCCCTTAATAAAAGGATTTGTTCTGTAAAACTTGCATTCAGTCAAAGGCTACACCCGAGGACCTAGAAGACTACATGTGGCCTTGAGGCCACAGGTTCCCGACCCCTGGGTTAGACCAAATACATACAAAGGAGGAGGTCTGTCTATAAGTTTTGAGAGCACTGAAGGATAAATTCTCTGGATATCAGAAAAAGTGGAAGATATCAAAGGCTGAAAAAAATATTCCAAACAAAACATAGCCCTAAGCATCATTCCATCCAAAAGGTGGAAAAATAATCTCAGTAGCTATTGATCTATATGCTACTTTCTCATATATGCACGGTTTTACAAGAATCTACATTTCTATCGAAATCATCTCTGATAAAGATATGAGAAAGGAAAAGGATAGTTTTCACAAATGATATTCTGAAACAACCACATCTTTGTAGCAGTTGACAAATATGTGGAAAATAATATATACATATTTTCAAAAGCATTTTATTTGATAGAGAAAAATGAAGCCTTAAAGCTTTCCTCCAAAAAGGTCTTTCTTCCATGCATATGGCAAACTTATACAGGTTTTGTAATAAGGGAAGATTTAGATAATTGAAGATATAGTCATTGTTCATGGTTAACCCACAACAATAAAATAAAAATGGCTAAATTAATTTGCAGATTTAGTGCTATACCAATCACTTACAGAGAGGATACTTTTTAGAACTAGGCAAAAGAACAGGAAACTCATTTGGAAGAACTGATGTCTAGAATCTCAGTGGAAACAGTGAATACAAATGCAATAAAGGGGTCATAGCATTGTCACACCTCAAATTATATTTTTTAAATTATTATTAAAATCAAATTTTAAAAAATTAAAATTATTATTAAATAAAGCCATTGAAAGTATTTGGTATTGGTTTTAAAAAGAACATAGATCAATTAAACTATCTAGATAGGCAAGAAATAGAAATTAGGAATACAGTGTTTGATAAAACCAAGAACATAAAATACTAGGGGAAGGATTCTCTGTTTAATAAGAAATGCTACAAAAACGGAAAAGGAGCAAGGATTCACTTAGATCAACATCTTATATTTATCCCAATAAATTCAAAATGGATGTGACCTGAAAATAAAAGGTTGCATAAAAAAAATTAGAAGCGAATGAAATCAAGTATCTTTCACAACTATGGCTAGAGAGAATGAGAGAGTACTTTTAGCCAAACAAAGGATACACGACAGCATAAAAGATAAAACAGACAACTTTCACTGATGTGAAAATATGTGAACTGAAAAAGCTTTTGTGTAAATAAAATCAATGAAGATACAATGAGAGAAACAGTAGAATGGTAAGAATATTTGCATTAGATATCACTGAAACATGCAGTGAATTGACACAAATTTATAAATTTATAATGTCAAAAGCTATTCCTCAGTAGATAACGATATCAACATCTTTTCAAAAGAATTACAGACTCTAAATGACCACATGAAAAACGTCCCTGATTTAAATCACTACTAATAAGAGAAAAACAAATTAAAACAACTCTAAGTTTTAGCTCTTATCGTATGAACCTACAGATATGAAAAAAAGATGGATACTGGTCAATATTTGGGGGTAAATTATGGAAAGATGGGCATTGTGATGCACTGCTGATGGAGCTGTGAAGTGGTCCAACTCTTCTGGATTTCAATTGTTGGTGCCGCTCGCTCCCTCCTCCAAACTGGACCATACCTGGGATGAGCTAAACCATTTCACCCAAATAGAACTTGTCTTCACCTCAGACATTTTAGATCCTACTACAACTATCCACAATCTTATTAACTTTTAAACAGCCATTAGCAAATTCAGGCAGCTTGGCTAAATAAAGCTCAAGAGTAATTCACATGTAGAGATGTGTTTCACTTTAAGGAAATTCTAGACAAAAATATGAAGATATAATATAATATAATATAATATAATATAATATAATATAATATAATATAATATAAATAATAATATAATAATCCTACAGATTTCCTAATTTCTTCTCACTATATCCCTAAGGGAATACTGCATTACAAAAGGACTCACCACAGGTTCCCCTTAAATAATAAGTGTCTGTACTTCAACTAAGTGGATACCCTGGGTTTACAGCAACCTTGGAAAATTCAGGAGATCTCACAAGATCAGAGAGATTTTGGAGGACCAAAAGGACAAAGGCTGGAATGTGTGCAGGTGTGCGTAAGTTAAGAATCCTCAGGTTTGGGCTTCCTGTGGGTTTTGAAGGGACTGCGTACTCTTTTAGGAACCTTTGTAGGGGAAGAGATAGGGAGAAGAATGAGAAAGAAGAGCCACAACAGGGCTGGGTTTCTTCTTTACCGGGGCAAGAACAAGAGACAGGGTGTGCTGCCTTATTGGCTGTGGGCAGAGGAAAGTGGAGGCAATGAGCTTAGGCACAAATGCAAGAGGCTCACTAGATGGGGATCAGACTGGAGCCATCTGGAGGAGGCAGAGAGTGGCTGAGCCAAGCAGAGATGGATGAGATCATATTGCACTAAACAGATTTAATTGGTGAGAGGTCACTGTGATGCCCAGAGCTGACACTATTCTAAACTGTGATCTGATTAGCACAAAGTACAGAAACACCATTACCTACTCTAAGGCTGCCTTATTATTTTTTAAGCAGCAGCAATATATTGTTAACTCATATTGAGTGTGTAGTAATTTAAAGCCCCCAGATCTTTTTCACAGGAACTGTTAACAGATCGGGCCTTTCCCATACTGTATTTACATAATTGATTATTTTAGCCTAAATACAGGACTTTACATGTATCCCTGTTGAATTCTATCTTGTTGATTTCAGGCTAACATTCCTGACTGTTAAAACCATTTTGAATCCTGATTCTGTCATCTAGCATTGACACGCAGTCCATGCTAGTGCTTGAAGCAGATTAAAATGTAATTGAGGAACATTTAACAAAATAAACAAAAATACAATAGAACATAGATCATTAATATGTGGTTTTCTAAGTCAATATGTTGTCCCCAGGGAACTTTATGCATGATTTAGCGACCCTGTTTCTATTTGGGTTTGATGCCACTGATAAAGCATATTAGCTATTCCCTTTAGCTTGGTGCCATGCTCAGCTAGAAGGAAAATCAGAAAGTTTGGTCTGTAAATACCATTTGGGATGTGAAAGAATGGCAGGGCCAGGGAAGCTTCAAAACCAGGCTCTGCCAAACTATTTTGGCAACAGAGGCCTTTGGGATTCAAAATAAATTAACAGAACTCATGCATGCTTGAGTGGGATTAAAAGGGGATTCAGGAACAAAATTGAGGAAATCAATTTTATTTTAATACTGAAGTATTGCCATTGAAATGGAGCAGTTGGGGTGGAGCTCCTTCCAGCTGACCACATGATTGATACACACATGAGTTTTCCCATTGGTAAAATGAGAATAATAGCACTTACCTCTCAGGGATGTTGTGAGGATAAAATATTTGTAAAGTGCTTTGCGAACTTTAAAGTGCTACGTAACTTTGTTGTTGTTTAGTCATTTTTCAGTTGTGTCTGATTCTTCATGACCCCATTTAAGGTTTTCTTGGCAAAGACACTGGAGCAATCTGCCATTTCCTTCTGCAGCTCATTTTACAGATGAGGAAATGGAGGCAAACAGGGTTAAGTGACTTGCCCAAGGTCACATAGCTAGTAAGTATCTGAGGTCAGATTTGAATGCAGGTCTTCTTGACTCCAGGCCTGGCTCTCTATCCATTGTACCACCTAGCTGTCTCTCACACACCTACCAGCTATTATTATTATTTATTATAATAGTATTACAATTATAATATTATAATTATTATTATCTATGATATAATATCATTTATTATAATAATTTATCATAATATATTTATTATTAGAGATAACTCTCTAAGACTATCTATCACAGAAAAGTGGCTGATTTGCATCAGTGGAGGGAGCTTTCGTACCAAGAATTCCTTATATCAATGAATCGCAGATCTGGGCCAAAAAAAAGAGGATTCATAGAGATACCTTTTTCTTTTCTTCTAACAATATTATTATATATAAGATATAATAATATAATAACATTATTATAATAGAAATATTATTTATTATAATATTGCTATTTATTATAATAATTATTAACAATTATTAACAATGTCAATCAGTTCTATAAGTTATAATATTATATATAAGTTACATAATTAGTCAATTACAGAATTAACAATAGTATTATTTTTATTACAAATAATATATAATCTATCGGGGAAAATACATCCACCAATGGCACTCCTTTACAGAATCTCTATTCTTATCACATGAAATAGCACAGTTCTGCAGAACAGTTTAAAAAATGCTACTCTAAATTAATTTTTTGATATAGGCAACTTAATCCTAATGGAATTACCTGTCATGGTGAGTGCATGACTCTGTGACTGTGTAGTGTTTATCATCTTTAAAAATGGGTTATTTTTCTAATTTTGTGATGATGCTTCCAAAGGGAGGTTTTTGTCAAGCATCATAAACTTTTAAAGGATAGAAGAAACTATAAGAAATTATGTTCCAGATTATTCCACATTCCCTACTTCCTTCTACCTGTCAAAAATCCTCCTACCACTTACATTGTGGATTGAAATATGGTTTTGGTTTGCTTTTTTTGGCTAGGCAATGAGGTTAAGTGACTTGCTCAGTGAAATACGTTTTTAAGTAGATGTGTCCAGTGTGAGAATTTGTTTTGCTTGAATATACATGCTTGTTTTGTTTTGTTTTTTTCTTTCTCAATGGGGAAGGGAGAAAGTGGGAGGGTGAGAAGTCAGATTTTCATTAATTTTTTTTTAAAAGACAGCCTTCTTGCCCATTTTTCAAGGCCTAATACAAGGGGTACACCTCAGTGAAGTCTTCTCTGATTACCCTTGCCAGAAGTGAGCTTTCCCTCCTCTAAACTGTTAGAGTACTTACCCTCTACCATTTCACAGGAGACATTTTCTGCTTTATGTTTTAGTTATGTAGCCTTATGTGACTTTTTATTCTTTCTATTAGAGTGTAAGTTTCAAGAGGGTAGGGGCAGTGTTGTTTACATCTTTGTAGTCCTGACACCACCTAGCACAATGTCTTATACAGAGCAGGCCCTCAATAAAATATGCCGAAGGAAAGACTGACTCCCTCTAAGCTCCTGAATGAATGAACTGCCACACATGAAGATCTTGTATTTTGTTTTGTTTTGCTTTCTTTGCTAAGCAATGGGGTTAAGTGACTTGCCCAGGGTTACACAGCTAATAAGTATCAAGTGTCTGAGACTAGATTTGAACTCAGGTCCTCCTGACTCCAGGGCTGGTGCTCTCTCCACTGAGGCACCTAGCTGCCCCCAAGACCTTGCATTTTTAACAGTCAGCCACTAAAACGTAATGAAACCATTAGGTACTACATACCACTTAAACTAAAGTTTAAGCAGTAGTGTGAATTACCTTTCGGACCATCTGCACAAAGTCCTTGGAGTTCTGGGGTGAAAGTCCTTGAAGTTGGCACGTACATGCCTCAAGGGAAGATGCATGGGCCACTATCAAAATGTTATTTCCTGGGAATAGAAAAAGGGAACATGTGAAAATGGATCTGGGAGATTCCACATAGGTGATATGCAGAATGGCAGCCTACTCTTGTGGCCTCTCATATTTCTCTCTATTATATTTTCTGTTCCACCAAACTCTGCCACTCACTGTTCTATAAACACTTCCCTTTCTTTTAGGCAGTCAGACATATTAGATTAAAAAACTGGCCTGCTAATCAGGAAGACCTGGGTTCAAGTTCTACCTCCAACCCATAATGGTAGCTGTGTGACCCTGGGCAAGTTACTTAATCTCTCAGTGGCCCAGATAACTCTCTAAGACTATCTATCACAGAAAAGTGGCTGATTTGCATCAGCGGAGGGAGCTTTCGTACCAAGAATTCCTTACATCAATGAATCACAGGTCCGGGCCAAAAAAAGAGGATGAATAGAGATACCTTTTTCTTTTCTTCTATTAAAGATAATGCTTACATTCCCAAATCTGCATGGTGATTGTGAAGAAAGTACTTTGCAAATTTTAAGTCCTTTGAAAATTTGCTGTTATCATTATGGTAGAATGATGTAGAAAGAGCATCTCTCTGCTTCTTAGCTGCCCCATTTATGAAAATATTCCCTGTACCTGCCTTTTTTTTAGGGATGTTATATGGTTAAACAAGGAAAAATAAGTATACAGGGAAAGATCAGGGGCAGAGGGTCAGTAAGAGGATGGGGCCTCGGAAGTTTCTGGCTAATAGGACATTATTATGCATGCATTAAGGCCAAGTAGTGGTAAGATGAGTGATATGAAAGTGATACCTGGGAACATTTTACAATTATTTGGCCATGCTAACTATTCAAAAATTCAAACAATAATTTGAAAATAGGATAGTTGGCTTTACAATAGCAATAGAAGGGTTATAATTCTGTATACAGGGGATATATTACAGAAGGAAAAAAATAAAAGAATCAAAACTTCAGGCAGCAATCAAATGACTATGTAATCAAGCATGGCTTTAACAGACTGAAACAATAAATGCCCTGAATAGAACAACACCATCTAGCATGCCATGTGATCAGCTAACAGGCAAAGCTGGCATGCTATAGTCTGCTACTTCTAAAAATGAGTGCCTTCAAACAATATCCAGCATAGTGCTGTCTAATACTATATTCCACGTTATCTAGGGTAACATTATAATATCCAGTACAGTTCCATCTAATATTGTATTCCATGTTACATAGGGTGATATGTTATAATATCTGGCATGATGCCATCTAATATTGTATTCCACGTTACATTGGGTAATGTTACAATATCCAGCATGGTGCCATCTAATATTGTATTCATGTTACATAGAGAATTGTTACAATATCAAGCATGCTGCCCTCTAATACTATATTCCACGTTATCTAGGGTAATATTATATATAGCAAGGCTCCAATGTGCCTCAATGCAGTCCCCTGTCAGCCCGAGTACTCAGAAGATATTACAAATTTAACATGAAGGTCTAAGCAAAAGGTTAGGGAAATATTTCTCTTCCCTGTTAACCATTTGGCTGCTAAGACAATCTTAAAAGAAATAAGAGAAGCAAGTTAATCATGCTAGAGAATAACTGTTGGATTCAAGATGGAGTAAAAGATAACACTGCTTACCTTTGCTTTTACATTCACTGATGATTTCTTTTGTGACTTGGAAGCTTCTACTGATGTATGTGTCATAGGATTCAGAAATCACTAATTTGCTGACTGGTATATGAGGTCTATAGACAAAATAATGACCAAAAGGAATTAAGACATTTTGATAGCTGGAGAGAGAACAAGTAATAGCGACAAAGATGAATATGGGGTAGGATAGACACTTGGCATAATGAATAGGGAACAGCCTCTGACCCATGGAGACCTGTGTTTATGTCTATTCCACACTAGCTGTGTGACTGAGAGAGGAAGCCATTTCACCTCGATACCCCAGGCAACCTTCTAAGAGTGTAGGTTGCAGAGAAAAGGTGATCTGCATTGGTAGGGAGATTTTCCTTATCAGGAATTCCCCATATAGACATCCAGTCCAAAACACAGAACACAGAGTAAATAAGCCCCATCTTCTTACTGGCCCTCTGCCCCTGATCTTTTCGTGCATACTTATTTCCCCTCGTTTAACCATACAACATCCCTAAGGAAAAGGCAGGTACAGGGAATACTTTTATAAATGGGGCAGCTGAGAAACATAAAGATGCCCTTTCTACATCATTCCACCATAACGATAACAGCAAATTTTCAAAGTGCTTTAAGTTTGCAAAGTAGTTTCTTCACAATCACCATACAAACTTGGGAGTATAAGTATTATTTTTATTTTACAAATAAGGAAATTGAAATTCAGAGAGGCAATCCTTTGAAGAACTGAAGTGTAACAAATCAACTTCTACTCTGTCTACCCAGTGCGTGATAATTTATTTACCAGTTGACTTTGCCATTGTTTAACCCAGGGCTGGGGAACCTGTGGCCTCAAGGACACACACAGCCCTCTAGGTCCTCAGGTATGGCCCTTTGACTGAATCCAAACTTCACAGAACAAATCTCCTTAATAAGAGGATTTGTTCTGTAAAACTTGGATTCAGTCAAAAGGCCGCACCCAAGGATCTAGAAGGCCACATCTGGCCTCAAGGCTGTAGGTTCCCCACCACTGGTAACTATAGCTATAATGATTTCTTATGATCAAAGGGCTGGGGGAAGGAAAAGCTGAGATGACATCTCTTGATCTAATGAGGTTCCTAGGTATCTCTTGAATCTGTCAGGCATCTAACCCACCTTGCACCAAACACTCTTTAGAAACAAGTTTAAGAAATATTTAGGACTGTGTATACTTCTTCCTTTAGTAGGCCTCTGAGTAAAATGAAAAGGACATTGGACAGATCCATCAGGAGAACTTGTTTCATAAAATCCTATAATGTTAAAGCTGGAAGACATGTTAGTCAAAACTTCAAGTTCAATCACCTAATTTTACAGATAAGGAAATTAAGTGACTTGCCCAAGGATACATAACTTGTTCATATCAAAGCCAGGTCTCCTGACTCCTTGATGCCCATTCCATTCCATCATGGTTCTAGGCCTCACTTGGACAAGTCTATAAGCATCATGGTATGGCGGAATTCAATTCCACAAGCATCTACCAAGTGCTTACCATGTTCCAGGTACTCAGACAGGGTACTGAGGATCAAGAAATGAAAATGAGACAGGCTATGCATGCCCCCAAAGAGCTTATGTTTAACAGGGACAATACAACACACACACAGAAGTAAATATTAGATATTAACTAAATAAATACAAAATTATTTTGGGAGGGAGGGGAGCTAATAACTGATGATATAAAGAAAGGGATGGAAGCAGGTGGTTTGCAAGGTCCTTTTTTTTCCTTGCTCTCTTTGTCTTTTATCTGCAAAATACACACATCTAGGGGGCAGGGGAGCGAGGATGAAAAGATAATTTCTAAGAGTAACTTCTAACTCGAAAATTCTATAATGCTGCATTTTGTGAGTGTTTATAAAGACTTTACTAATTTTGTCCATTCTTAACCACAGTTAAGAGAAACTGGACCTAAAGTCAGTAAACAGCAAAACGGCCCAAAGAACTACAGAACTGTTGCTGTGGGTCACCATTTGTGTTTGATGGTCAGCCTTACTTCTTCTAGGCCTCGAGGCTCATGAGACTACTAATTTATACAGCTGCATTAACAATACTTTTCCTTCCATGACTGGAGGTAAAAAGGACAACTGATGCCTCTCAAGGGATCAGAAACACTTCTTTAGTGATCCTCCGATCCCACTCAATCTATTACTGGGTCTATCACACATCATCTATAAAATGGAATGTAAGCTCCTTCAGGGCCGAGATGATTTCAATTTGTTTTTGTGGCCCCAGTGCCTGGTACAGTTGTTGTTTAGTCATTTTTCAGTCACGTCCAACTCTTTTTGACTCCTTTTGGAGTTTTCTTGGCAAAGATACTAGAGTGGTTTGCCATTACCTTCTCCAAGAAGGAAAAATCCCCATTTTACAGAAGAAGTACTGAGGCAAATAGTTAAGTGACTTGGCCAGCGTCAGTAAGCTAGTAAGTATCTGAGGCTGAATTTGAATTCAGATCATCCTGAGTCCAGGCCCAGTGCTCTATTTATTGCACCACTTATCTGCCCCTACCCATTAGATCTGTCCAAAAGTAGGATGGCTTGCAGAGAGTTATTGGATTCCCCTCCTTGGAGGCTTCAAGCAAAGGCTAGATGATATAGTGGGAATTCTCTTTCTGTATAGGTTGGATAAGATGACCATTGAAGTTGCCCTTCCAACCTTCAAATTCTGAGAATTTGTGATTCTTCTCTGTGCCTTGTGGCTCAAACTGTGACAAAGACCATAGCTGAGCACAAGTCTAGACTCTATTAAAAGATGGGAACCTGTTTTAATGTAATAGATTAGTGCAAGTGAACAGGAGAATAAGGACTAGGACTGAGCTCTCCTGACTCTTAGTCATCTGACCTTGGCCATACTTCTGCTATTCCTCGGGCCCCACTTCACACCTCCCTCAATGCTTTTCAATCTAAAGTTATTTCAGCAGAAGTATAACTTGAAGATCAGCAGCCTTTCAGATGTGCATAAACAAAAAGGGTCGATAGGTTCAAAGGTCAAACAAAAGGCTACACAAATATACACCTGTAGATGGGAATTGGGAGTGGGCATTGTGCACGTCCTGCCATCAACATTTCCTGGATTCATCCCTCTTCTGTGCATATGGGTGAACAACAACAAAAAATGGTGTAGATGGAATGATCCATACACATTTTTCAAGTCAGAATGAGAAGAATTTTAGGAAATACTTCAGGGGAAAACCAGAGACCTGTATTCAACCAAGGCCAGCTGGGAGTGGAGCTGTGGGGGGAAGATGCCTTGCCCAGGCTGGCAATCTGATTCTCCATCAGAACATACAATTTCTGTTGGCTCAACATTACCTTTGACTGTAAAACTATGGGCTGAGGCAGAAATGCCATGGAGGGGGAGAGAACAGAACATGAAGTACAACTATGGGGGGCAAGAGAGACATTTTAAAATCTTAAATCTTTTTCTTTTACTACAAACAGATTCTTCAACACAAGGGGAAGTAATAGGGAGATTATTCCTCTAAGAGGGTCAGCCATGTTTCTACTTACAGACTAGATAAACTAGTCTGGGAATCCAGACACTCTTTGCCTACCTGAGCCAGAATGCCTTTGAGGTTTTTCAATCAGATTTGTGCTTCTAGCTTTAGAAAAAGAAGGGGCAGGATATCACAGGGGAGAAAGAGCTGGTTAAAGTGATCACTTGTCCTAAATATAGTCCTCAGACATAAGACATCCTCCATCATAATTACTAGGAATGTCTATTTCTATAAAAAGGCATTTTACAAGTTCCTGACTATACTTAGTGGTTAACCTTCAGCAAATTAATTGAAACTAGATTAACTTAATTTCCTCTCTTTTTGATAGTTACTAGACTGATACATCAGGAGAATACTATGGTGTATACACACACACGTACGTGTGTGTGTGTGTGTGTGTGTGTGTGTGTGTGTGTGTGTATGGTATGGTATGGACAGACTATACTTAAATTTCAGCAAAGCATTTAATGTAGTCTCTCTTAACATAATTGCAAAATGGAGAGGTATGGGCTAGGTGGCAAGAGTTGGATTCAGAACTGGTTGCATGTCAGGGCCCAAACCATAGTCATTAATGGACCAAGGTCAACATGGAGTTAAGGTCTCTACTGGAAGGCCCCAGGGATCTATGCTCAAGTCCTTTGAGGTTCAACATTTTTCTTTTTTTTTAATCAATGACTGATGAAATCTTATCAGATTTTCAATTGATGCAACGTTTGGAAGGACAGATAAAATGCTGGATGAAAGAAACAGAATCCTGAATGATGGATCAAATATAATTAAGTGTTAGTAATCAATGTGAAGTCTTCCAAGTGGGTTAAAAAAATCAGCTGCTCATATGAATCCAGGAGTTAGAGGAGGGCAGTATGGATAGACAAAAGTTGATGTGAAGAAAGGTCTGGGAGTTTTAACATAAATCAAGCTCAATATTAATCAACACTATGAGATGCAGGTCAAAAAAAGCTAACTCAATCTTTGGCTACATTAATGTCCAAAATTAGGGAGATGATTGTCTCACTGTACTCAGCCTCGATCAGACCACATTTGGGGTATTGTGTTCAGTTCTAAGAACTACATTTTAGGAAACAGAAAAACTGAAGTACATCCTGAGGATGCAGCCAGGGGAATGAGAGGTCTAGCAATGATGCCATATATATAGATAAGATGAAGGAACAGGGGATGTTTAGGCCAAAGAAGAGGAGACTTGGTAAGGGTTAAGGAGATATGATAGCTATTTTCAAGTATCTGAAAGACTATCATGTAAAGAAGGTATTGAACTCGTTCTGCCTGGCCCCAGAGGCTGCTAGGTGGCATACTGGATAATAATAATAATGATAACCAACATTTATACAGTACTTACAATGTGTCAGGCACTGTGCTAAGCACTTTACAATTATTATTAATTACAATTATTTGATCTTCACAACAACCCTGGGAGGTGGATGCTATTATGATCCCCATTTTATGGATAAGGAAACTGAGGCAGACAGAAGTAAAATTACTTGCCCAAGGTCACACTGCTAGAAAGTGTCTGAGGCATGATTTGAACTCAAGTCTTCCTGACTCCACCACCTAGCTGGATAGACACGGACTAGCTGTGTGACCCTGGGCAAGTCACTTAACCTGCCTGCCTCAGTTTCCTAAATTGCAAAATGTGAATCATAATAGCAGGGTTGTTGTGAGGATCAAATGAGATAAAGTTTGTAAGCCATCCATCTATCTATCCTTCCTTTCTAACTAGGAACAATGGGGGAAAGTTGCCAAGGTAGAATCTGGTTCAATCTATGCTTTCTAACAATTAGGATCTAGAGAACAGAACACATGAACATAATTGCTGCTTGTAAGTATACAAAGTGTTGTCATGGGGAAGAAGGATCAGAGGATTCAGAACTGGAAAGGACCTTAGGGATCATTTAATCCATAAGTAGAGTGGGCTGCCTCAGAAGGTAGTTGGCCCCTCCCTCACCCTGGAGATCTTCCAATAAAGGCTGGATGACCACTTGACAGGGAGGCCATAGAGTGCAGAAGAGGGGAGTAACTCTAGTTTAGAGAAACATTGGACTAGATGATCTCTGAGCTCCATTCCAACTCTGAGATGGAGTCAAGTCAACTGGCATTTATTAAGCACCTAATAGGTTCTAGGCACTATGCTAAGTGCTAGGGATACAAAAAAAGGCAAAAGACAAGCCCTGGCCTCAAGGAGTTTACGATCTAATGGGGGAGACACCATGCAAACAAGTATATATAAACAAGACATTGTTTTTGTTCAGTCTTGTCTCACTCTTCATGACCCCATCTGGGGTTTACTTGCCAAAGATACTAGAGTGGTTTGCCATTTCCTTCTTCAGCTCATTTTACGGATAAGAAAACTGAGGCAAACAGGGTTAAGTGACTTGCCCAGGGTCACACAGCTAGTAAGTGTGGGAGACTAGATCTGAACATGGGAAGATGAGTATTTTTGACTTCAGGCCTAGTGCTTTAGCCATTGCCCCATCTGGCTGCCCAAACAAGATACATATGAGAGGAATTGGAGATGATCGCAAAGGGAAGGCACTATTTGCATTAAGGGGGACTGTGTAAGGCTTCTTGCAGAAGATAAGATTTCAGCTATGATTCTATAATAATTCTATAATAATCAACTTTCAATTACTGGCATGTGAATAATATACTTTGTGGATTATTTAAATATAAATGTAAATGTATTTCATGATTAACTCCAGACCAGGAAGTCTGATCTAGTAGCACTGGACTAAGAATAGGAAGACCTGGATTCAGGTCTCAGCTCCATCCCTTAGTGGCTACACAGCAGTGAGAAAGTCCATTTTTTAATGTTAATTTTCTCATCTGTAAAATGGGGCTATTAATGCTTCCATAGGCCCTCATAGGGTAGTTGTGAAGAAAGTAATTTATAAGCCCTAATATAAATGTCATATGTATGTGTATATGTATATATGTGTGTATATGTGAACACACACACACACACACGCATATAAAGTTAACTATTAATCTGTATTCAGAAAAAAAAAGAGGTGTGTGACCATAGGCAAGTCACATGACTCCTCTGGACCACAGTTTCCTTATCAATAAAATGAGATTAATACCACCTGCCCTACCTGTCCCATAGAGTTGTTGTACAGCACTGTAAGGTTTACAAAGCACTTTACAGATGATATCTCAGTGGATCCCCACAACAACTCTGAGAGGGTCATGTTATATTATGCCCATTTAAGAAAGCTGAGGTGTGTCTTTTTTCCTCCTCCAGAGAGGTTAAGTGATTTCCCAGGGTCACACAGCTAGTAAGTATTAAAGGCAGGACTTGAACGCAGATTTTCCTAACTCCAAGACTAGCACTTTACCTACTAGACCATCTAGCTACCTCAAAAGAATTAATACTTATTTTCATGTGACTTTGAACCAAACACAATCATGCAAGCAACTCTTCAGGAAAAAAAACCCACCATAATGCATACTAATGCCTAATTATTTTTGGATTATTTGCTATTGTCACATATAGTTCTCCTCTATTACTATAGCTAAATGAGACCGAAGTCTGGTCAGTCACACAACTATTGGGTTGCAAGTTGAAATAATTTTTTAAGATTCAATTTTATTTTCAGTTCTAAATTTTCTTCTTCCAACCTCCCTTGCCCCCACTTCCTTCATCCACTGAGGAAAGAGAGAAAAATAAAACCCACTACAATTATGTAAAGTCAAGCAGAATAAACTACCACATTAGCCACATTCTTTCCTCCCTACTTCTCCCCGAAAAAGTGCTTCAATCTGCACTCTGAGTTTGTCATTTCTCTCAATTTGGAGGTGGATCACATGAAACTGATAATAATTTGGAAAATCATCTTTAAATCAATCTCAGGAAATAACAATTTACATAAGGCTACCTGTAGGTTGTATCAACACTCAGGTTGGCAGCAGCTAAGTCTGATGGGGATATCCATGCAGGCAAAGTATTTCCAGCGACCCACTTTGTCCACTCAAACAAGCCAGGCTCCACACGGATCTTCAAGTGATTTTCTTGTTGTAAACCTTGTAAGGGGAAAAGAAAATGAAAGCAAAGGGAAGGTAGTTCTTTCAAGAGAATGTGAACCATGTTAGTTAATCAGAATGGACAAGGATTAAGTCAGCAATTCCTTTTCCACTTGGTTGCTGTCTCCAACTTGTACAAGAATTTTCAAACGAACCCATTTCCAAATGCGGTTTTTGATCTCCTAGGGTGAGTTATAGATACTCAGAATTTGAAGCACTGGCCAAACCATCATGCTATTGGGTGGTGCCTCATTTAAAGAAAAAAAAAACATTGGTAGGGAGCCATTGAAGATTCCTGACCATGGAGGTGAGGTAGTTAGATCTATGTTTTGGGAATATTAATTTGGCAATAGTGACAAATTACTGAAGGGAGATTCATATCTAATCACTCACTGTCCTGCCAAAGTTGGCACATTTTCCATTTATTGCCTCCTCTCTCTTCCCACTGCCACTATTCTATTATATACCATCATTACCACTCACTTAAATGATGGCAATCATCTCCTTACATGCCTTCTGGCCTCTGGACTCTTGCTCTTCTTCCATCTATTCTTAGCCCATTGCCAGAACTGTCTTCCTTATTTGTAATGTGATTGTATCACTTCTATACTCAGAGCTCTTTGTGGGCTTGCCTAATGAGCAAAGTTCAAGATCTTTTGTCTGCTATTTAAGGACCTTCACACTGGGATAGTATCCTATCCATATTTTTAATTCTTTACTCTGCTAAGCATTAGATGCTTCCACCAAACTCACGTTCCCTGTCTCCTGAATGTGCCATGCTGACCATGTCTGTTTCCATGCCTTTGGTCATGCTGTTCCCTATGTCTGAACCGCTTTCTTCCACAGAGTTCCTCCCCATGCTTTAAAGTCCAACTCAAATGTCTCCTCCTCCATGAAGTCTTCTCTATTTCCCCTGGCTAGTAATGACCTCCTTCCCCACCAACTCCCAACCTCACATTAACACTTCGTTTTACAATTCTCTCTTGTACTTACAATGTCACATTTTGTACATCTGTTTTTGTGTCTTATCCCCTTTGCTAGAAAGTAAGCTTTAGGAAGGCAGGGATTATGTCTTATGCAATCTTTGTACTTTCTCCAAGGGATAAGCATCATGCTCTGCATATCTAATAAATGTCTATTGAATCTATTGCTGACTGCTGAGAAAGTACATAAGCCAAACTATTTCCCATGGAAAACAAGGTAAAAATGCTTGATTAAAAGTCCCATCTCTTTAGGACAGCTTAGGTGTGGAGCTGCCCAGAGGCAGGGGACTAGATGACACTTTTAGGATGTACAAACTTATGATTCTTACCTTTCAGAATATTGTGTGCAGTCTGGACGCATCGAAGGGATGGGGAACAATAGATGTGGTCAACAATGGTGCTGCTTTCTAACAAGGCCTCACCTACAAAGAGAGATAGAATCCACTGGCTATATTTGGTCAGGGCTAGTACCCAAGTGTGGCCCCACTTAGCCAGGGTACCCAAGGCACATAATGGCTAACACAGAAGCCTAATGATCGGAACCTCATCCCCAAATAAACCTTTCACCAACATTCCCAACAAAAAGCAAAAGTGAAAAACTCTTATCTTTTATCTTTTCCATCTCTGCAGGTCTAATGAGCAGCAAAATGCTCAGTTAGCAGGGAGCTGAGCCCTAGGTAATCCAGGGGCTGGATAATGGATTTTATGATAATAGATTGTAGATTTATATTGATGAAAAGGAAAGCAAATAAAACCCTAGAGCATTAACTCTCAAACACCAGAGACCACTCTAATCTCTTGCTGAATGTTTATATTTTTCTGGTGGTATCCACTTCCTTTCGAGCAGAGACTGATGTCTCTAGACAGCGGGTGTGGGATAAACCAGAAAACTGATGGATTCAAAGCCGACACACACAGAGCCAGCTTTAGTCAGATCAGAACGGCCATTCATCCCTGATGTTGTCTGTCTCCTGTTCATATTTTGGCCTCTCACATAAGTTGTCATGGCAAAGGCAACTACTTTATACCTGGGAGGCCCAAAGTTCCATGGCTACAGGGACTCACACTGGTAGCAAGTACAGAAAAGTCCCATAGAGAATGTCCTCTAACTCAAGGCTCAGAAAGCACTGCCCTGCATTCCACTGGGGGCAGCCCTCACAGCATTACCTCCCCCCAAGATGGTAACCCAAAAAGAAAGTTATTCTGGGATGACTCACCTACTAGTCTGGCTTGCATACACCCAAACACAGTGATTGGTGCATCTTTTTCATAGTCCCGGAAACCGCCACTCCTTTGAGGTAAACTGTGAGGCATATTCAGGTTGGTGCGGATGTAACGGCCTAAGAGAGAAAAAAATCAGGCACAGAACCACTTGAACTCTCTTATTTTTAAACCTTCTCTTAATGATCCTGCCATTCTAGTCCTTATTGGCCAAGAGAAGCTACCTCTACTTTAGAGCAATGGAAAACATTAAGAGCATTCAGAGAGCTGAAACTTTTGCTTGGCAATTATATTCTGGAGTCTTTTCCATTCTGCTTAAAAGTTACAAGGAGATAAATTTTGCCTCCATATAAAAAGCTTCTTAAACCATTAAATATGTTCAATAGTGGGATGGGCTGCCTTGTGGGGTGAATTGCCTGTCACTGGAGCTGTTCAGTTGAGGCTAAATGACCACTTATCGAAGCAGCTGGAGAGTGAATTCACACATTAGAGAAGAGCTATACCAGATGACCTTATATGACACAGAGAAAAGAACACAGACTCTGGAGTCAAGAGGATGTGGGTTCAAATCCTGCTTCCGATGCTTCCTACCTCTACGACACTGGGCAAATCATTTTCATTTAATTTCTTTGGCTCTAGGGTTCCTCATTTTGTAGAGCAAGCCAGTTGGACTGGATAGCCATTAAGGTCCCCTCCAATTCTTCTATAAATCCATATAGATGATCTATGGGCATCTTAAATTCAAAATGTCTCAAATGAAACTTATTAGCTTCTCTTCCTAAACCTACCATTCCTTTAAATGTCACTATTTCTGTTAAGTGCACCACTATCCTTCAAATGACAAGTTCAGAACCTTGGGGTCAACCTTTGACTCTTCCTTCTCTCCTTTATCCTCCATTATCTAATCAGTTGTCAAATCTTGCTGGTTCTCCCTCTACAGAATCCCTTGCATCCATAGTAGCCACAGCAAGGAAGCAGATAGTAATAACAACAACAACAACAATAATAATAATTATTATGATAATGATATCTAGCATGTATGTAATGCTTTAAGGTTTGCAAAGCCCTTCCTATATGCTAACTCATTTGCTCCTCACAATAACCCTTTGAAGTAGGTGCTATCCCTATAGCCTAGGGATATAATAAAGGAACACGGTCTAACAGACAGAAGATGCTTTGAGTTTGTTCAGGAGAAATGGGTTATAGAGCACAGTGAGAATTCTACAAAACACTCTAATTAAATGCACCTTTGAGGCCAGGGTAGGTCTCACGCCCTGGCATGCTAGCATCCATGAGCTCACCTTTGGCATCAAAGCACTGGGATAGCCAATACTTCCCAAACACAACATCCATCCTCTCACCATGTCGACAGACAAAGAGGCATCGCTTCTGGGGGCCAGGCTGGCTGTTGACTCGCAGGGGCTGTTCAGGGAGAGAAAGAAAGTAAATAGGTGGGAAGTACTTTGGGGCAGCATAGTGAATTATAAGGAATGCTGAACTCAGAGTCACAAGAGCTGAGGTCAAATCCCGGCTCTGCGAGTATGGCCTGTGTGACCTTGTGTAACTTCTTAGGGGTTCAGTTTCCTCATCTGTAAAGAAAGGGTTGAATAAGATGACCTTTAAGGTCCCTTCCAGCTCTAGCTATCAGATCCTCTGACAGCCTAGTAGAAAGCCCTGGGTACAGGTAGGGCAATAGTTTTATTATTCTTGTTAGTAAATGGCCATGAAGCCATAAGGCTAATTGATTTAATGCTTTGATCTAAGAAGCTAAGGAGTTAGTCAGTCAACAAACATTGATTAAGCATTGTGTAAACGCCAGGAACCATGCTAAGCAATGGGGGAGTAAGTTTGGGAGACTCAAATCCAAAATAAAGAAAGGCAAAAGATAGTCTTTGCCCTCAAGAAGCTTATATTCTAATAGGGGAGAAAAAATGTACAAAACTAGTTAGTGGTAGGATGATTTCTTTTTCCAAATGAGGACACTATTCGGTGGTAAGATGTCCTCAGGGAGCAGGGCTACCATTATTACAAAGGTGACAGTTTCTATAAAGAATACATTGCCCATCTGGAGGACTGTGACAGCTTCCAGATTCTCCACTCTGACCCTACCTGTTGAGAATGCCTATCTTTAGCCACTGTGTCACTGTGCTGATCACAGGATTGTAAGGCTGGAAGAAACCTCAGAGCTTACCCAATTTAATGCTCTGATTCCATAGGTGAGAAAACTGTAGCCCACAGAGATTGAGGGACTTGGCCAAGGTCACACAAGTAGCTAGGGCAGAGCGAGGGGGTGAAGCTGGATACTCTGGCTGCAAAGCTAGTGCTCTGTCTGCTGCCTTTCTGAGGCCTTTCCCCTATTCCAGAGTTACAGTGGTTCCCTATTACCTCCTGTGCCCTGGCACCAGAAGCTGTGCTTCTTGAGCAGTGACTACATAGGGAGAAAACTTGCCATTTCACGCACATCCTCTGCTCTAGTTCCCTGATTTAACCTGTGTTCCAGCTAGATGAATCTGCTCGCAACATATGATCTGGTTAATCTTGCCTTAGAACTTTTACATATTTTTTTCTATGAAACTAGAATGTATCCTCTCTCCACCTAGCTGGGTCCCTTCTTATCCTAAAAGTCTGGTTCTACATATAGTAACAGAGTAATGGATGAGAAGACTTGAATTGGAATCTCCCTAATTTACCAACTCTATGATCGGGGAAAGTCATGGCTCTCTGAACCTCAGTTTTCTCATCTGTAAAATTTGGGGGGGGGGAATATTACCTGCTCTGCCTACATTACAAGGTCATGAGGTGCAAATGAGATAATAAAAGTAGAAATGCTTTTAAAAGTGACATTATCATCTCCTTCTGGAAACCCACCTAAGAAACCCCACCTCAGTCCAATGCCATACTCAAGTATATATTCTTTGAGCTTATAAGAGTGAGACATAGATGCTAAGAGACACCTAGAAACAGAGCCATAGACAGAGACACAGAGGAACACAGAGACATATGAGAGAGATAAAGACAGAGAGATATAGACAGAGACAAGAAAGACAAAGAGAGAAACAAATACAGAGATAGACAAAGAGAGTATCAGAGCTAGAAACAGAGGCAAAAAGAGAAACAAGAGACACAGAAAAAGACAGACACAGAGGAGAGAGACAAAGAGGGACAAAGACATATACAGAGAAAAGAGGAGAGACAGAGAGAGGAAAAGGAAGTGAGAAAAAGAGAGAGGGAGAGAGAGAAAGAGAGAAAAAGAGGGATAATTCTTTCTCTTCTTTCAATGGATTGAGACTTCTTAGTGCATGCTTCACATCCCCTTCCTTTTTTTTCCCCATAGTGCTTTGTGCTCAGCACATTATGGGTATTCAGCATTCTCTGACTGCATCCATGTTAGTGACCCCCCCCCCCCGCCAAAAAAAAGCTCCAAGGAGGACTACTGCTATCTCTTTATACCAAATTACTCACATCTAATTTCCATCCTGACCAGCTGAAGAGACTCCCAGCCCTTCCTTTTGCCCTCTCTATTTGAGACAGCTATTCACAATGTGCTGCCCCTGACTGGAACACCGCTGACTGGCCCTATGTGTTCATTTATAGCAAATGTACCTGACTGAACAGTGTAGGGGTGGCAGGGTTCTCTCCAGCTGTTTCCCACTATTCACTTAGAAGAAACCTCTGCTCTGGCCAAAGTGGTATCCTCACTCTCCCCAGGTTACATCTTGAGCTTGCTCATTTTTCTGACTTTGTTCACCCCACCTAAAACATTTGTCTCCAAGAAAATCCTTGCCATTCTTCAAATCCTCAGCCCCTCCAAGAAGTTCTCTTACCATTCTGGTCTGCACTGACAGCCCTCTTCTCTAAACTCTGACAGTAACTATTGTCTGTACCATTAATTTGGCACTTAAATATACACTGTGTGGTTTAATTGGTTATACCTTTTCATGTGCAGATATCTTACTTCCCCAGCTAGATTGTAAACTCCTTGAGGGCAACAAGAAACCATGTCTCCTACTTCTTTCTATTCTTCCAAAGCACCTAACCATATGTAGTGGATGATTACTAGATCTGGGAATCAGACCAGGGTTCAAATCTCTCCTTGGATATTTATTCACTGTGTGAGCATGGGCCAATTGCTTTACTTAGAGGCCTAGTTACAGATATGTAATGAGAACCAAGGACAAACAACGTCACAGAGGACAGAAGTGGGTGAGGAGACAGATAATTATATTTGTACAACCTACCTCAACCTCAAGGGTTGCTTGAGGACAGTGCTTGGTAAACATTAAAGGGACAGGGATTGAACCCATGATTTCATTGGTGAAGGAATTCCCAGGATGGAACTTCCTCCACTACTATAGCACCACTGTTGGTACTTTCCCCACAATTTACGTTCTTAGAAGGCTGCCGTGAGTATTAGAGGTAACATGACTTGCCAAGAGTCAAACAGCCAGTATGTTAGAGGCTGGTATTAAATGTCGGTTTTTGTGGCTTTCTACCCATAACACCAACACACCTCTCTATAGACCTTAAAGTACTATGTGAATGTGAGTGATGTTGTCTGGTACGTGCTCAGTAAGAACTTATTGATCAAATGATTGTTAGAATGTTTCCCAAATGTTACTGGCCAAACTTACTTGCATGGGTTGGCAGATGATGGTGAGGGGAGACGTCTCCCCTGGACCCTGCTCCTCTTGCTGCCGCCTCTCCAAAATGCCATCACTGAACATGAGTGAGCTGGAGGACGATGATGTGCTCAGAATTGAATATGAGCTACAGAGAAAAGGACAGGAAGACATAAACTATTGGTACCATGAGCAACAGGCCATGTGTTCTCTGGCCTTCAGGATGAATAAGAGTATGGAACTTAACATGAAAAAACATGGGTGGTGGTGATGGTGGTGGTAAATGGTAAAAGGGGGAAGATGTGGCATCTAGATTCCTTGCGAAGAACATCTTGTTCTACTTTGAAGAGCCAAGCCATTAATAAATTAAGAGTAGGGAGATTCACTTGTGCATGAATCCAACTGGAAGCCCTCTCTGGGCAGGGATGGGGGTCCATCATTTACATATTTGGTACAGTGTCACTGGCATGGCTGGCACCAACTACATTTTTAGCTATAATGCCACAGCAATTATATGCCATTGTTTCCAGCTATTATCCCAGCTGAAAAGAAATAAAGGATTCCTGCTGTTAATCTTATTGTCCATAGCCATTTTCATAGGAAGGGAGGGCTTTTTGTATCCCTACCCACTCGTCTTCACCTCTTTAAGAGTCATGCAAACCTTGTGATTGCTTGCCTCCTCTCTCCCATCCTCTCCTGCCTCCCCTCTCATGCCCCAAGATGAGATAAGCAAATGAACAAGCATTTCACAGGTGAGCATCCTCGCCATATATGAAGGGACACAGCCAAGAACTTCCATTCAAAACTTAATAAAGGACTGTCTGAGCCCAACTAGGGTTAATGCTGAGTGGGAGGCAGTCACATCCAGCCCCTCTTTCCTCCCACACTAAAGTTATTTTGAACCAGCAAGTTGCCAAGATGGTTCATTTCATAAGTGTGGCCATTTAATTTTGGTTGTTGGATAAATTCAATGAAACATGTTCTCTGGACTCTCTGGACAACCTGAAGGGAAGCATTTAATGCATGTGTTACACAGATACTTGCAAATGAAGACCTCTCTTCCTGCCACTAATAGGAATGACAGCCATCACAGCAGCAAAACAAATATGTTGAGGATCCATCAGTGCCAGCTAACGTACCATCTGAGCCTCCTTTTTTCTGACAGAAATCTGCCTCCTCCTCCTAATGACCCTTTCTACAACCCCCCAGCTGGAGGGAAGCCAGCCTCCCTCCCTGCCTCAAAGCTTTGGGGGCCTGATATGATGGGATTTGTGGAATCACGTTGCCATATCTTGCTGATTTGTGCCTCCTCACTGCTCAGCTCAATTATGGCTTTGAAGAGATCGACTGGCTTCCTTCCCTCCTTCTCGCATCTCACTGACAAAAACACTGTCAGCTTCCTCAGCTGTCAATGCAACAAAAGGGATATGATTCACTCTGATTTGGGGCTGTCAGTTTCAATAAGGTAACCGTCAGGAACTTTATTTTGAAAACAGCACCGAAACCACATCATCTCCTTAAGGACCATAGCTATATGCCTGTTTCTCCCCAAGGATAACTTGTTTTGAAAACACATCCTGAGACTGTCTAGCTTAGCCCACCCAGTTCAGGTGACCAATCTGTATTATGAAAATCAGTCAATAGCTGGAAAAACCCAGAACCACAGCAGGGCAGTCCTGAGGACATGTTTTCTTAAGAATGATGAAGAGAACTTGGAAGAATATACAGAGGACTAGAAAATAGGAAGGATAAGAAAAATACAGAAACAAATCACTTAGCCCAGAAAAGAAAAGTCTGAAAGGAGTTCTGACAGTTTCATAATAGGCAAAATTCATAACCTGACATTAACCAGAGACTAAGGAGTAGGTCATGGAAGAATAATTCATTTAATTTCAAACATACTTCCCAGGTGAGATACCACCACTAATCTTCCCCTTAGAAAATGGGGACTGTAATCCATACAACTCTCTATAATCTGATAATCCAATCATGTTATATTCACTCAGGCTTATTCCCAAGGCCCAGTTAATGCAAAGGCCACTTTAAATGTGAGAGAGAGAGAGAGAGAGAGAGAGAGAGAGAGAGAGAGAGAGAGAGAGAGAGAGAGAGAGAGAGAGAGAGAGAGAGAGAAGAAAGAGAGAGAGAGAGAGAGAGAGAGAGAGGGAGAATGTGTGTAGGTGTTATAAGATGGGTTTTAAGGAATGTGTACAGAGTTCCCTTTCCTTACTGACCCATATTTTTCTGGAGGTTAGCAGGAAAAAAAATCTTAAGAGTTTTGCTTCATATGCCAAAGATGCTTAGCTGTCAGAATTTACCAATTTCAATCTGAACTTATGGAGAGGAAAGGGATGTGGGATAGAAGATTAGAAAAGATTCTAATTATTAGGTTAGAGAGATTAGAAAATATTCCTGACCTTATATTTATGATTTATGTTTCTAAAGCTAATGGAGAGAGGGAGTTTTCTTCTCTTTTCTTTCCCTAGACAAAATACAGGCTGGAATTACCTCCCTCTTCTTCTCTACAATGGTTGTAAAAAAATAATGATAATTGCACTAATGTCACCTACCATGTGTTGGCATGAGGCAGAGCATAGGTTTAACTAAGAGGGAAGAAAAGAAAACCAGCCCCCTCCCCTGGGTAGGACGCCTTGTAACACATGATAGATGAGCCAAGGAGAGTTTTCATTCCTGGATCAATCAAGGAGGGAGGGCATGGTTTGGTCTTCTCCATTTTAGATGAGTTGAAGGGTCCCACACAAGCTGCAATGAACATCAGACTCAGTGGGGACGGGCAGAGGGGACAGTCCAGAGAACAATCACATCCTGAGAATGATACGTTATCTTTCAGAAAGGTATGCTGCAGTCAATGACACCATACCACCATGATAGCGGATACAGCACTTGAATTGGAGTTGGTAAGATCTAGAGTCAAACCACCACTCAGACACTAGTTGTGTGATCTTTCACAAGTCACCTAACTTTCTTCTCTGAGCCTTCCTTATATGTAAAATGGGAATAATAAAAGCCCCTACTTCACAAGGTAGCTGTGAAGACCAGATAATACTTGTAAAAGGACTAAATAAATGGGAACTAATATTACTACTAACTCAGCAAGGCAGAAACTTAACTAGCCTGCTTTATGGAAGTCATATAATAATAGTAACAACAACAATAGAAATGATAATAATGACTAGCATTTATATAACCCTTCAAGGGTTATCAAAGGGTTATTTCAACTGATCCTTATAACAACCCTGTAAAAACGGTGCCATTCTTATCCCCATTTTATACCTGAGGAAAATAGGGTGGGTAAGTAAGTTGTCCAGGGTCACAATGTTAGTTAATATCTGAGACAGGATTTGAACTCCAATCTTCCTAACTCCAAAGCCAGCACTCTATCTTCTACACAATCTAGCTAGCTGCCCATATAGCGTACTATGTAGGAAATACTGGGCATTTACCACTAGGGCTAGGTGGACAGGAACCCCAAACTAAGGAGGGCCAAAGGCATTGGGATATCTCTCAAGTAACATTTCACTCTAGGCATAATAGTAATATTAATTGCTAACGTTTATAAAGTGCTTACCATGTGCCAGGCACTGTGCTAAGCACCTTACAATTATTATCTCATTTGATCTTCCCAACAACCTTGTGAGATAAGTGTTATTATCATCTCCATTTGACAGATGAGGAAACTGAGGCAAAGAGGTTAACTGACTTGCCCAAGGTCACTCAGCTAATAAGCATCTGAGGTCTGATCTTCCTGACTACTGGCTCTGTGTTCTCTACCCACTGTGCCACCTGGCTTCCTTGTGCTTTCCCTTCTGTGGGTCCTAGCTCCAGACCCAGAGGAATTTAGACAGCAATTTGTGTCTGATTATGCAAACTACATGATGGGGTGGAGCTGCATGTACCCTCCTTCCCAAGCCCTACACAGCTAGCCAGAAGCCTGGGGACTATACATCTTCTCTCCTCGAGGACTCCATGTGGTAAACAAAAAAATTCTATATATTCTGATTCAGTTCTGCTGCCCTTAAAAGTTCTGTCTGATTGTTTTGCATTAGGAAGACTAACCATAAAAAGCAGTAGGCCCCACGAGTCTGCTTACCCATGGAATATCCAGGTACTGCATTCATCTGCCTTGGTGATGTAATTCTCAGGCAAAAGCCCAGAACAGCCAGTGGTTAAGGATGTGCCATAGATCCAGCCCTCACTGGTACTTGTCTGCTCCATTGGAGACATGAAAATGAAGTCTCCAGGTACCAGCTCCAGCTCATCGTCATTTTGTGGAGTGTAGGGATAGATCACCTGTAGCGTCTGAGAAAGAGAAATGTGAAAACTATACCCAAACCATTCCTGTAAATGCTCTTGTGACTGGGTGAGTTTGTTTTATCCTATCCTATCCTATAGTTGTTCAGTTGTTTTCAGATGTGTCCAACTCTTTGTGACCCCATTTGAGATTTTCTTGACAAAGATACTGGAGGGGTTTGCCACTTCCTTCTCCAGCTCATTTTATAGAGGAGGAAACTAAGGCAAACAGGGTTAAGTGAGTTGCCCAGGGTCACATAGCCAGTAAGTGATTGAGACCAGATTTTAATTTGGGTCTTCCTGCCTTCAGGCCTAGCTCTCTATCCTCTGAACCACCTACTTGCCTCCTAGGCAAATAGAGGTTAAGTGACTTGCCCAAGGTCACACAGCTAAGCTAGTGAGTGTCCGAGGCCAGATTTGAACTTAGGAAGATGAGTCTTCCTGAGTTCAGGCCCAACTTTCTATCCACCACCTAGTCTTTTACTGGAAAGAATCACAGAAGCGCCTCAGTTTTCAAGTAGATATTATGCTTCCTATTGTCTCTAGAATGAAATATAAACTCCTATATCTAGCTTTCAAAGTCTTTTACAACCTTTTCCCCACTTTATTTTTCCAGCCTTATTAGCCAAACTGTCTTTTTCTCTGCTCCTCACATGTGAAACTCCATCTCTTCGGTTTTTGAGTAAAACTCATTCCCTCCTCACCTCTATCCAGGGGTGTGCTGGAGGCAGGTAGCTGACGTCAAATTTTCAGCATGAGAATTTACACCTTGGAAACTGGCAAATACTACAAATCAGGGCTTGATTTAATGTTTTGTTAATTATATAGATTTAAGAATGTTATGAAGAAAATGTTAAAAATGCAAATTAAATGAAAAAAATACAGAGTGTGTGCATGTGTGTGTTTTCTAGGCCAGTGGTGTCAAATTCTAATAGAAGTAGGGTCACTAAACCCATACATAAGGATCTCTATTGGAACCATACTGACTTAGGAAACCACATATTAACATTATCTATGTTCTACTGTATTTTTATTTATTTTGTTAAATATTTCCCAATTACATTTTAATCTGCTCCAAGTTCCTTTGGGAGTGTGATGGAGGGCCTCCATGTATTTTGATATTTCTGGCCTAGACTCAAAAAAATGATAGAGAAAATGTTAATAATTAGATTAAACTTAAAAAGTATCTCCTACATACTTTTTTGGGGGGGAGAGATCCAGTTGTTAAGTGTTTACCAGCACATGGCTGCCTCCTTCTCATGGAAGCCCCTCTCTTCTTTCAGGATGCAGCTCAAACCTCCCTTCACCCCCTTCCTGATCCTCCCTCTCAAACTACCTTGTACTTAACTACTTTGTGCTCATCTCCTTATATTTCTTTCTATGTATGTGTATCACATCCTTGTCCCCCCGGTTTAAGGTAAATTACTTGTGAGTGGGAATTATTTTATTTTTCCTATTTGCCTGTCATATAGTTGGTGATCAATACTTATCAGTTGATTGATCTGAAAAAATAATACATATCTTTTGGAAATGGATTTATCCTGGATACTGATGGGACTAGTCCAGATCAATTTCCCAGAACTGCCTTAATAGAGATTGCTTCATTTATTTTTGTTTTATATCCCTAGGGCCTAACACAGTGCCTGGCACAAAATGAATGCTTGTTGGCTGAATGATTGACTTCACCCACGAGGGAAGAGATTTCATTTTTGGATTAGCATCTAAATACACCAGAGGCATTTTAGGAAACTTCCTTGCAAACAGATTTGGACCCAGTCACCCACTGTCCCATCTGCTAGTGTAGGCACCAATGTAAAATTTTTTTCCCTCAGGGAAAACCATTCTTCTCCATAGAGCCCAAATGGACCAGATGGAGAGAATATGTGTGAAGGTCTATGTCTTCCAACACGGAGGGCACTGGAATCCATGAGACAAATAGTAGAGCTTTGTTGTTATTGGGTCATTTCAGTTGTGTCCAACTCTCCCTGACTCCATTTGGGGTTTTCTTTGCAAAAATACTGGAGCAGTTTGCCATTTCCTTCTCCAGCTCATTTTATAGATGAGGAAACTAAGGTATTAAGTGACTTGCCCAGGGTCACACAGCTAGTGTCTGAGACTAGATTTTAATTCAGGAAGATGAGTCTTCCTAACTCCAGGCCCAACACTGTATCTACTGCACCACCTAGTTGCCCTAATATTAGGGCTAGACAGCACTTTAGTCTAAACCCTCTCAGCATATAGGACCAATGAGATGCCATTTCATAAACCGTTGTAAACTTTTATATTTACATGGCAAAAGTAGATAAATGTTTATTACTACTACCATTACTACTACTAGTACTATTATTATTTCTGTTGTTGTTATTATTATTACTGTTACAGGTGATGAAATGAAAGCCTAGAAAGTTTGTTATTTGCCTAGAGTCACATCGCAAGTTAGAGGCAGAGCCAGAATTAGAATCCAGGTTTCCTAAGTCCCAAGCCAATACTTTTCCCATTTCATCATGCTGAGAGTTTCTCCTCAGGTCACGATGTTTCCTGGTAACCCCTACAACCTCTGTCAACTATGCTGGGCGGGATCATGAGCTAACCTCTTCATTGGGGGCAGAGTTGAGAAGTAAGATGAAGCAGCTAAGGGATGTCACAAAGTCTCCTTCAAAAGAAGATAAAGTATGTCCTGACCTGGAGGCAGAGGGATGGACCAATAAATAACCTTTCAACAAAATAACCTTGCAATGTAAGATTTATGATCAGTTCTTTTGAATTTTACTTATTAGAGCCCATCCATTCCCTTCTCCTAGATCCATATCCTCTCTCCAACTCCCAAGTCTGGCTTCCTTCCCAGACAGCACCACCTCCCCTCAGCAAAGAACCCTATTCTACACATTTGTAAAACTGATTAAGAACAACATCATAAGACATTTCTCTTAATTATAGGGATGCATGTGTAATGAATGCACCAAAAAGAATGTTCCTTTCCCTGGAATGGAGTAGAGGGAACAGGCTCTGCGCCAGGAAGAAACAGGCCCACACTACAGCTCCTCACTGACTGGAATTCTATAGCTGAGAAGGACCTGAGAAGCCATCTAGATAACCTCCCTCTCCTCACCCCCCCCCCACCATTTTACAAGAGGAAACTGAGGCTCAGACAGGAAGCAACTTGCCTAAGGTCACACGGATAGTGAGTGGTAGAGCTGGGATTTGAACCTAGGTCGGCAATCCTTTCTCCACTCTGCTACACTGTCTTGTACTTAATCCGAGCATGGCCTCTGTTAAAAATGCCTTTTTTCTCATGCACCTATCTTCCAAGGAGGTCAATGTCATGGGGAGACTGACTTCAGCACATCCTGAGGAAGAGCTTTTTAACAATTAGAATTGTTTGAAAATACACTAGACTGCCTTATGGAGGTAGTGAGCTCCCCATTACTGGATGTTTGGGGGGGAGGCGTTTGTCAAGGATACAGAAGAAGAGAAGTCATGATGCAGGTACTGGGTTGGAATAAATGATCTTATCTAAGGTCCATTCCAACTCCAAGATCTTATATTTCTTACCTTGGGAAGGCAGTATGGAATAATTGATGGGAGAGTTGACCTTAGATCAGGGAAATTTGGGTTCACATCTTGCCTCTTACTCATACTAGCTGTGTGACCATGGACAGGGAGGTACTTAACCTTCTCAGTATCCCCAAGCAACTGTCTAAGATGATCTACTGACTCTACCCTGGTGGAGGGAGTTTCTACAGTGACAGTTCCTTACACTGAAGAAATCACAGGTCTAGACTCTTTTCATGGAGGAAAGGGCATAGGGACAAGGATAGGTAACCGTGTTCTGGAGATAAGAAAACTGGGGAACAGAAAAGGGTGGAGATAAGCCCCAGATGATGAAGTGAAATGAAGGCGTAGTACTAGGATTATTACCTAAGATTCACAATTACCCAGGGTTACACAGAAAAGTAATCTTAAGAATGGGAAACAACATCATCATCGTTATCGCTATCATTTATATAGAACTTTAAGGTTTATGAAGTGCTTTACAAATCTCATTTTACAACTCTTGACACTATTACTACACATAACAATCCACTGTGGTATTATTATTCCCATTTTACAGATGAAGGAATTGAGGCACATAGAGCTTAAGTGACTTGCCAAGGGTCACACAGCTAATAAGTGTTTCATATGATGAAGTGAGCCTTATATCAAGGCTAACCCCTTTACTTGTTCAAGCAATCCCATTCCAGCTTGTCTCCTCCAACAGATTGCCCCCTATGTCATCCCTATTCTCACTTACTTCCAGTCACTTCCTCTCTACTGGATCATTTCCTACTGCCTACAAATACGCTCATGTCTATCAAGGGGGAAAAAAAAACCAGACCCTTACTTGATCCTTCCATTTCTGCTACCACCCTGTAAGTCTTCTGCCCTTTGAAGCTAAGCTCCTTAAAAAGGCCATCTACAATAGGTACCTCCACTTTCTCTCCTCTCACCCTTTTTTTTTTTTTTACAATTTGGATTCTGACCTTATCATTCCACCAGAACTGCTCTCTCCAAAGTTACTAACGACCTGAGCCTTTTCTCGATCCTCATTCTCCTTGACTTTTCTGTATCTCTGACACTGCTGATCACTCTCTGGTCCTTAATACTCTCTTCTCTTCATGTTTTCAAGAAATCACTCTCTCCTGGTTCCCCTGCCTATCTGACCATTCCTTCTCTGTCTCCTCCTCCAGATCACACCCTCTACCTATAGGTGACCCTAGGGTTCTGTCCTGGGCTCTCTTCTCTTCTCCCTGTATACTACTTCACTTGGTGATCTCATCCACTCCCATGGATTGAATTATTATCTCTATGCTGATGATTCTCAAATCTAACTTTCCTGTCCCAGTATTTCTTTCAACTTCCAATCTCACATCTCCAATTGACTTTCAGATATTCTGAACTGGATGTCCAGTAGACATCTTAAACTCAATATATCCAAACAGAACTCATTTATCTTTTCCCTAAATCCTCCC